GGGAGATCTAGCTAGCTAGCAGGTGAAATCAGTAAAGACCAAATTGGGGAGAGAATTGGGGGGGAAAAAAAAAGAGTCAAGACTCAACATGAATCAAAAATCATTTTTAGTCCATCGTGTAGATGTAAAGTCAGAAACGACAGCTCATTTGTTGCTGCACAGTTTGTGTTGGTCATCCTCTAGTCCTTCATCAGTGGTCACAGGACGCTGTTGGTTGGTGGACTATTCTCAGTCCAGCAATGAAACTCCAGCAGCACTACTGTGTCTGATCCACTCGTACCAGCACAACACACACTAACACACCACCACCACATCAGTGTTACTGCAGCGCTGAGAATGACCCACCAACCAAATAATACTTGCACTGTGGGGGTCCTGACCACTGAAAAACAGGGTAACAAAGTATGCAGAGAAACAGATGGGTTACAGTCTGTAATTGTAGAACTACAAAGTGCTCCTATATGGTCAGTGGAGCTGATAAAATGGACGATGAGTGTAGAAACAATGTGCTGGCTGATCAGTGTATTAATAACTGCTTTGTTTATATTAATTTTTCTCTTGAATTTTTTGTATTACCATATTGCGGTTTCCCAAAAACTACAAATGTCAAGATGGCAACACACCAAACATACACTTAGCACACATATAGACACACACTGGACAGCTGAACGCGCTAGGAGGATATGGCATACAATTGGTGACAAAATGCTTAATGATCAATGACCTGCACACGTAAAAATATCACATAAAAAATGCAAGTGTGTCTGCCTCAAAAAATTATGTGTCTACATGTCTTGACATCTTACATCCAATCACTAAATTTGTATATGAATAAATCTGCATTTTAATAAGGGAGCGTGACAACACCTGACGAGATGTGACATATGGTATTCCATATGCATGAAGTGCTTACATGTGTTACAACGTACAGTCCATGGCCGGTGACATACCCACCCACACCAATCAGGCATAACATTATGACCACCTCCTTGTTTCTACGCTCATTGTCCATTTTATCAGCTCCACTTACTGTATAGGTGCACTTTGTAGTTCTACAGTTACAGACTGTAGTCCATCTGTTTCTCTGCATACTTTGTTAGCTCCATTTTACCCTGTTCTTCAGTGGTCAGGACCTCCATGGACCCTCACAGAGCAGGTACTATTTGGTTGGTGGATCATTCTCAGCACTGCAGTAACACTGACGTGGTGGTGGTGTGTTAGTGTGTGTTGCGCTGGTGTGAGTGGATCAGGCACAGCAGTGCTGCTGGAGTTTTAAAATTTTGTGCAAAAATGACCACTGAAGAACAGGGTAAAAGGAGGCTAACAAAGTAAGCAGAGAAACAGATGGACTACAGTCTGTAATTGTAGAACTACAAAGTGCACCTATATAGTAAGTGGAGCGGATAAAATGGACAATGAGTGTAGAAACAAGGATATAAGGTCATAATGTTATGCTTTATCGTTGTACACAGTGATACATAATTTGCATGTGATAATATGTAGAGTTTTCATGACCAAAACATTATAATCGTGTGACTACGAAGGTGCACCACCTATTTCACACGTGGTCAACACATCATTGTCACATGACCAGAGCTCCTTGAAATGAGCCACAGCTGCTGGGAAGTCATTTGACCAGGGACTGAACTCACAAGCTTACCGTTCAGAGATGCAACGTTTCGTTCTGACAGCGACAAAGTCCAGCAGCTGCTGGACCTTTATCCTGCATGATGTCTCACTGTATCATCAGCAAACAGTGAACAACAATAATACAGTTTAAGTGGTAATTAGCAGAACAAAATGTAAACAGTTCGCCAGGGTTTAGTTGTTAATAAAACCCTATTTTTGATCATTGGAGTGTCAGTAAAAATCTAAATAAATGTTCTTTTACTTTAGGATTATCATACACTATCAGCGTGAGCATCACCTCTTTGCTCAGATTAGATAATCTAGAGATAATCTGTAGAAGTACTTTTAGTGTCCATGCTTAGTGAGAATGAAAAAATGCCAGTGTTTTCATTTTAAAAAATAGACCAAAAATTATAATTCAGATCATTTGATAATAAGCATGTAATTCCACTTCAAATATGTATTTACAGATCAATCACTCTCCCAGTTTGTGCAGGAAGGCTCATAATGGACTCCTTTCTACTAAAGTCATTTATAATGCCTCTGCATCTACTTATCAGTTAATATCACCCCCTACAGGCAGCATATTGTCACTTCAGCTTTTTAAGTTAAGAAACGTCAATTTCTGCCATCTGAAAACATCAAATATTTACTTCTTTTATGCGTGCAGGCGATTGGTCATTAGGCCTTTTGACACCAACTGCATGTCATAGGAGGAAAGCGTCAACTGCCAGTTCTATTACTTCACCTAACAGACGCCTGCGCTGGCTGGCATCACGCTGGGTGATGGGGGGAGATGAGGGGGCCATCCTACCTACCCAGATAAAGTGAGGCCAATTATGCTCTCTTGGACTCCCGGCCACGGATGGCTGTATCAGGACGCAATGGATCACCAAGGATCAAACTTGCAATCTCTTGATGAAAATCTTCCATTCTTTTTAGCCTGTTTCACCCTGAGCTGCACTACAGTCCCCAGCATGCACTGCAACATGATGTACACTCCAAACCCCTTCCTCCAATAACAATCTATGGGCCAGCGGTTACACTAAAAGAAAAGATGCCTGATGTCTAGTTCAAGCAAATTTTTAACAGTTTTAGCAGTTTTAAAAAACTTACCTAAAACTATTTATTTTTATTTAGAATTATTTTTGAATAAGTATTTTATGGCTATTCAGCTATTGGAAGCCCCCCGGAACATAATTCATAAGGGTTAAACGCTCAGACACTATGAGACATCACTGGCTAATCACTGAGCATAAGCACTCAACTGTAGTCTGTGAATAGAGCTACCATACTCAGATTACAGAGAGAGTAAGAAGGACGAAAGTGAGGAAATCTTACTTAAATGTCTGTTGGAAGCTTTACTGTCCATGTTTAAGGTAGGACATTCTACAAAAATGTGAACAGACATAATTGTTAGCGTAATGCTAATACGACATAGGAATTCCCATTGACAGGCTAATGAAAATGAGCATTTTGCTAGTGGCAGAAATTTTGTGCAACAATGCCACCTTTAAAGCGAATTAATGACAGTTTCTGGATTAAATATTAGTTTATTTATGGTGGGCATGGATGGTCCCAAAAGGTCTAAACGTCATCCTGTATGCTATATTTAACACAACCGGGACAACTAGACGCCATTAGTGTGGAGGCTTGCAAGAAAACAAGAATTTTGTATTGATCTAATATGCTGAACTGTGCTTAATATGACCAGAGACATGAATGAACTACTTAATTAATTTTAAAAATGTCCATTTAATTTCAGACTGACTTTAACTATCAGGTACTCTCGATTTTTTCTGTGTTTCACGGTTTCCAAATGAAAGACCGTCAGAAGAGACTGAGTAAAGTATCAGTGATAGAGTTATAAATTCTGATACAATGTTTAGAAATTTCTAATAAAAAATAATAATATAACAAAATAATATAATAAGCTGATAATGTACTGAAATCATTACAACCTTACTAGACCATACAGGTGCAAAAATGGTGCTTGATGTATGGTTTCCTTGATGTATTTATTGTCTGTATTTGTAAACCAAAAAGCTTTGCATGGTTTGTTTTTGTTAGTCCACATTTACTGGTTGCTCTTTTTAAAAACTCGGATTAACTGATCAATTGTCAAAATAATCAGAATATTACTTGCTTTTCATTTAGGTGGCATCCCTAACGTTCGACTGGAACTGAATTTGTGATTTCATAATGCATTTCACCATTTCCCAAAGAACTGTAACTGGTTTAACTCATATTGAGTTCACACTATGAATCATTATCTGCTGTATGAACTCCACTGCAGCTCTGGAGGTCAATATCATACTGAAGGCGTCACTAAACAGTCAGAGAGCCTCAATGCATTTCACTTGCAAATCTCTGTCTCCCTGAGAGAAGGACCTGCTCAAACAGAGCGCTACAGAGGGAGGGAGAGAGAGAGAGAGAGAGAGAGAGAGATAACCCAGGCTCATGGTGTGGAGAGAGTAGTTAGGAGCAGAACGCGGTGTCCACTCCGCTGAGACCGACACCTTCTATTACTCAAGCTCACACTAAGCAATAGACTGTCTGTAAATGACCCTACACTGACTCAGTGGAAGACATACAGACACTATGTCACACGCTCATTCAATGTTTCTTCTGAAACCAAGGGAGTTTGTCCCCCTTTGGTGCAGTAACAGTCTCTACTTTTCTGGGAAGGCTTTACACTAAATGTTGGAACACTGCTGTGAGAATTCGATTGCATTCAGTCACAAAAGCATTACTCAGGTCAGGTACTGATGGTAGATGATCAGTTCAGGATCACTCCAACTCCAACTCATCCTAAAGGTACTGGATGAAGCTCCATCATTCCAGAGAAGGTAGTTCCACTGCTCCACAGCCCAATGCTGGGAGCTTTATTCCCTTCCAGCTGACACTTGGCACTGGACATGGTGACCTTAGGCTCACATGCAGCTTCTCCAGGCGTCCCATTCTACTGGCAAAACCTTTTTCTGGAGATTACACTGAGCTGAATGCCCAGGTCAACAATGGGGGCACCTTAAAGTGGCTGAACTGACTAAATAGAAGAGGTGACTGTGGATACTTCTGTACATATAGTGTATTTATATTACAGTGTTTTTATTGTTTTGTGCTTTTGTACAGAATTCGAAAAAGCCAGCTGCTCTTTACAAGGTGCTAAAATTTCATGATGAATAGACCAACAGAAAAGCTACAAAATGACTTGGAAAAAAAAATCTAGCTCTGTTATCTGCCATTCAAAGTTATCCTTCTCCTGTAAAGTTACCATTTTGGAGATACAAGGTTTTGTTCTGGTTCCGACGCTGACTGGAACTGTATTGTGGGGCTTTGTACAGTATTGTGTGTATGTATATATATCTGACCTTGTCCAGCTCGTTGTCCAGTTCCATCGATCGTGGGCGAAGCTTGATTGGCTGGTCTTTGAAAATGTCTCCGAAGCCAAAGCCGCGCACTTTCTTCGGCTGGATCTCTGAGCTGGAGGCCACACTACCTGCATCCGAACGGGCGCTGCTGCTGTCTCCCCCATCACTCTCTGAGCCTGTGCTGTCCTTAACACCTACACACACACACACACACACGTGCACACATAGAGACTTGATATATCATATGAAATTTAAGATGGACTGTAAAAAGAAAATAAAGAACATTGTGTGTGTGTGTTTGTGTGGGGGTAAATCACAGGTAAGGTTAAGGTTTAGGTTGGGGTTAAGGTATTATGTGTATGTATATATAAAGCTAGGATTAGGATAGTAGTAGTTCTGGTTAAGGTTTGAGTAGGTTGAGTAAGGTTTGAGTAGGTCTCCAGGAAATGAATGAAAGACTAAGTAACACCCCAACAATTCACAAAAACAAGACTGTGTGTGTGTTTTCCTGTTTCAGGTCTAGGTGTCCAAGGTCTACACAGTTTCAGAGCTGACTCATTAGGAAGTGGGTTAAAACGGCAGCTGAAGGCACAGGCGTGCACACACACACACACACACACACACACACACACACACACACACATCTGTTTCCACTCTAGATGAGAGCCAGCGCTCTGCATTGTCTCTGAGCCTCTGTTCTGTCTCCTGGGAGCTGCGATGTCATGCTGAAATGGTTGCTCTGAACGGTCCACCCACTGAGACCTGGCTAAGACCCGACTAGGCCAGTGGGTTGAACTGATTCAAAAGAAATTCCTGGATAGACTAAACATAAAAACATTCATCTGAAAGAATCTGTGCTCTCTATGCATGGAAAACTCATGAGACCCAATGCAGACATTTATTCTTCTCCCAAGTTATCAGATGTTTACATGCCACTTTGCTGGACTACTAGTACATACATAGATAGGGCTTAGCATTTGCTACACATTTGTGATAACCATCATGGTTCAACTGCAATATGGTGAAGCATCATGAAATACTGAATTGTGACATGTATTGTGATGATTTTGTGTTGTGAGCTAGCTGGCTCATATTTAAAAACTCTAGGCCCTATAAATAGAGAAGTGCACCCTTAACCCTTTGTGCTGAAACAACAGTCAAAAAAGAAAAAAAAATACAGAAATGTGAGCTAGTAGGTTTTTTAATCGACTAAATATGTTATTGGGTCAGTTAACTCTGTGAGCAAGCTGGCTGCATAATGTAGTGCAATTAGCCGATCCTTGCTCTGCCATCAAATGCATTATTTTGTTTCAACTGTTGCCAGGAGGAACAAGCTTTACAGAATGCTGGAAAAAAAGCCAAAAAACAAAAATGCATTAAATTTAATCAGACATTTTAGTCAGAATACCTAAATTTAGCCTGATAATTTGATATACTATTTTTCCCAGTTTTTTTCCTCTGCCTAAACGAGCTAATGTTTAAAGGAGGGAAATCCGGCCAAAAAAATATTATATTATAATTAAACAATAAAATGTACATGCGAACCTCTTTTTGCCATTTCTTCATCCAAACATCTGCACACATCCTGCCAAAACTGAAAATGAAATGAAATACCTACATCTGCAATTTAATTTTTCACATAAGCACGAGTCATTTCTAACAAAAAAAAAATACATTTAAAACAGCTATTTGTCTTTTCATTTTAGTCATTATTCTCAGATATAATGACATCATTCCTCAGACTAAACGATTTAGAGTCTCGGGAAAACCATCGTCTTGTCTCAGATCTGGTGTAACTGAATATCAGACCAAACGGCCGATCTGTCTGATACCCAAGTACTGACGCTGAGGTCTGAGGATGTCCTAAAATGCACCCTGTAGCCCCATCTAGTGTTAATTAACATATATTTACATGTTGGTTAACTTGAAAACAAAAAAACAAAGTGGGAAATGAACTGTAAATCACCAGCAGATGGCGCTGATGTTCGTTTCCATTTGCCTTTTCATGCTGACACTTAAAGTGCGTTCATGCCTAAAACTGAATCACAAACTGTCACTTTACTGTTGATTTATCCATTTTGCATTTTCATTTTGCCGGATATGCAGCTCATTGCTATGAAAAAGAAATAAGAACGTAAACATTGCATTTTGACTTTAGTTTTGACACATATTACACATTTCATGAAGAAAAGGCAAAGCCGAAGTAAAGCTTGCATTTTCTTTTCCAATATTATGATTAAAATGAAATGAGAAATAGCTGCTTTTAATGTTGTCATAAATGACTCGTGCTTATGTGAAAAATTTAACTGCGAATGCAGGTATTTCAATTCATTTCCAATTTTGGCAGGATATTTGCGCAGATAAAGAAATAACAAGAAAGAGATTTGCATTTACATTTTTTACATAGTATGTAAAACATTTACATAATAACTTTTTTGGCTGAATTTCCCGCCCATAAATTTTAGCACGGTGGCAAGTTTGCTGTTGTCATTTACAACCCGCCTTATTTTGATTAGCTACAACAAGATAGTCCAACTCAGGGAAAGTGAACGCAAAAGAACTGAATGCAAATATTGTAGCCACTGTGAATAACTCATGTGACACGCACTGTAATTCCTCTTTAGTTTTCAGTGGGATTTTTCCCAGCATTCTTATAAGCTTCCCAGTAACAGCTGTTAAGAATGAACACATGAATCAGTGCAGAGCATTGATCAGTCAATTGATTTCCTTGGTGAGACTTGTGGGTTGAATTTCAGACTGACTCGTTTTTGTGCTGCGGGTATCCTCCGGCGGGGTTGCCAGATCCTCTTCATCGGCCAGAATCTCCTTAGTGAAGTTGGAGGGGAACATTCCCGTCTTGCCATTGAGGCTGCCTTCCCACCAGCCTTCCTCCACCTGCAACACACCGGCACACTTTACACACGCATACTGGCTTAACTAACACAATCATAAACATAACTTTGGCTTTTAAAACACACTAGACACATTAACTGATTGTTGAATATGGTTCTGTATGAGAACGCTTACCTCTCCCAGAACCTCAATGACGTCTCCAATCTTGAGCTCGAGCTCGTCTTCATTCTGTGGGATGTAGCTAAAGGCAGCTTTGCAGCGCCTCTTCCGGATGGCCTCGCCTGTTGTTACACACACACACAAATATAAGTGAATACGTGAGCCAGGGGTGGCCGTTTCATTATCGTGATACATTACGCTGCAATACATCCTCCTGTTCCTGCTTTTCCTCTCATTCATTTTTTTATTTTTCAGTTCAGGAAATGATAAGCATAATCCCATCCCCACCCGCAATCCACCTACAGTCGGAACAGTTCAACAGAAACCAAGCATATGCATGGCACAGAACGCATGAAATACAACGCAAACACACTGACGCTTATTCATCGTAAAAAAGAACGCAGATTTAACTGCCTTTCATGACACACAAACTACTCTGCCTCTGAACGACATGGGAGTGAGCAGAGGATTAAGTGCTTAATAAGCAAACTAATAAGTCTCAGTGTGTGAAATCAAGCGACAGCCTACCAGCCCCTCATTTACATATCATTTACATGAATTAAGTCAGATGATAGAGCCAATAAAACAGCAGCAATCGGTGGCTGTTGAACCAGTTTAACGGCGGAGTTTGAGATCGAGCAGCGAGTGCACTGCCCCAATACTGACCAGATGTGTGGACAGATTATGAAGCATAGGCGTGTCTGGCCCCTTTTTAGGGGTACTCAATCTCTTTTTTCGCAGCAGGTAAACAGGCTTAGCCAGATTCCTCCATGTCATGATGGAGAATCTTCAGTCATCAATAAGCAAGTGTAGGGCAGGGAAGTGTCTACTGAACTCCCTCTTGCAAAAAGGCATTTACCTTTGGAAAGCAATAACTCATAGATACAAGACCCCACTCTTTTTCGGGAACCTCTTGATCCTCCTGGTCCTTCCCGCAAAGCTTATTTTGCAAAAAAAAAAAAATCATTGTGCTTATATTTCACAGCGTTTTTCCATATGGCGCTTTTTCTGGTGCATTATGGTTCAAAAATGAAATATTGAGATACAGTACTGTGCAAAAGACTAAGCACATTATTTAAACTATCCATCTTAGCAAGTAAAACCACCATATGTCATTAAAATAAACACAAATAAACATATATACAGTAGAAAATAAGTAGAATTTATTTATTTATTTAAAAAAATATTAATATCTTGGGAGATGAAGAATAAAGCTTAGTTCCAGATTTCTCCTGGACGCTGTCATCCATCACAAAGATTTGCTATAATCCTTTAGCAGCACACTTGATTTAACATAATTAACAAGTAATACTGAGCTTCAAAGACTTGTTTGACAAGATTAAGTGTAAACACTGACATACATTATTATTGCATGATTATTATTTGTAATTATTCTAATATTAGCATTTTTTCTGAGCAAATAAATGCTTACTGCCCAGATTAACATCTTTTTAATTCTAATTTTCCCAGCCTAAAACTTTTGCACAGTACAGTACATGAGGAATACAGTGATGCATATATTAGTATTGCAATGTTATATTTTGTTATATTCCCTCCTTTAACCACTAGGTGCCTCCAGCTGCTCTCCCCTACTGTGTGATTTATTCCACTCATCGTTTAAGTAGGCCGGACACTAACCCTCCTTATAGCTACAAAGTAAACGGTCCATTTAGCAGCTCTACTGCTCGGCCAGGGCTGCGTTTCACTTCTCTTTCCAAGCATGAGTGAAAAAGTGAGCTGCTCTAGCCATGAGTGGCTGTTCATCATGAGAGAGTAGATCTGTGCAAACACATTCAAATCAGTGTCCTCACTTACAGATCAAACCTTTTTATTTGACTGTATCATTTGAAAATGCCAGCTGCTCTTTATATTGTGATCACATTTCATGATGGCCAAATAGAAATGATTAATGATAAATAAAATGTCATTATTGGAATTTATTATTTAAGATAAAATTTCATCATTCACCACGTCTTCCTAAGTTTGCTCTTCAGAAAGTCCTTAGACAGGACTTTCTGGACTCTCAACCCAGGACTCTCAACCCAAATGTTAAGAAGAGCCATTCTGTCCTTTCAACAAAATTCAAACCACCTTGGGAGCCACAACATTTTATGTCCATTTTACCACCTTGGCTGTAAATATGTCTCAGTATGTGTTAATGTACAAGTATAGGCAAAAATTATAATTAAATGAAAACGCAGATTTACTTTGCTCTGCTTTAGACTTTAGCTCAGCAATAGCAGCTTTTCTCGCATCTCCGGCAGGAAACTTTTACACAAAAGTAGAACAGTTTCTCGTAAAATGTCTCTCAACGTTTTAATGTAAAGGAGGATTATTTTATTTTTACCTACAAATCTAATTGTGCTGTGGAGGGCAGTAAAAGAGCCATGTGTTGCCAAACCCTGTCCTAAGAAATAGTCTGTGTCAGATTCATGACGTGTTCTTAAACCCTAGAACTGTTCACACCTTTGGGCTCTTGAGTGTGTGTAGATTCTGTTCTTACTTAAGAACAAATCCCAAATAAGAAAACACTGGTGAATCTCTGAATCTTCGTAAAAAACTGCGTAAGTGGATTTTAAGAAGAAATTACTTCTTAAGAATGGTTGGCAAAAGAGGCCCATTAAGGTTAAGAACAATTTTACTTTCCATCTAAAGTTACAATTTCTAAGATACCCTTTTTATACAACAGCAACAATGTGACGTCTGGAAAAATCCCATATCTGATAGAAAATATATGATTTTGTACAACCACTAATATGTGGAACATGAGGAATTCTCACTCTAAACAAATCAATCACAACGAGCACTCCTCAAAGCTTTCACAATCACAGTCAGATTCAACACGTCATTTGCATGATGGTGGACAGATGCAACCTTTTGCATCAAACCAACCATCACCAGCTCACGACCCTGTACTTATAAATCAATTAATCCACAGCACATCAAATAACGGGACAATTACTGCAAGTGCTTTAGTCAAAACATAATAAATAAAAGATAAATCCCCAGTACTGACAATCAGTGTTTCCAAAGCAGAGGTTATCTCCAAAATGTCTTTATTTCACCATTATTTGATTAATCGTCAACAGTTATTTTAATAACTGAACAATTACTTTTGAATAACATGGAGTTTTGTAGGCCCATTATCAGACTAGCAGTGAGAAAACATGTCATTCAATGAGCCAAACACATGAGGGCAGCATAGTTTTTCCACACTAAAGGTCAAATGCTCAATTAGTCTGGGGCAATTTAACTATTTGATGAGAAATAAAAAACAATACCCACATATCAACTGATAATTCTAAACTATAACAAAATGTATGTCACCATTGCATGAACACACAACATCTCTCCATTAGCTACAAGGTAAGCTGAGACTTCAAGCAAGGTAAGTTAGATCTTTCATGAACACATCTACAGTATTCTTCCCAAAGTCCCAAAGGAAAACAAACACAAAAATGTTTGTAATATGTTCGTAAAATGTCTGATACCCCAGTTACGTGTGCTTGGTTAGCTTCCGCTTGGTTGTTAGCTACTTCTTGGTACGTTTCTTTAGCGTTGTGATTGGTAAGAGTGATGCTTATGTAAGAACTGCCCAGTTTATATCAAAAGAGGAGATTTTTTATTTAGTAGACATTGGAAATGCATTCACAGGACAGTATTGCACTGTTCTAAGTTGTGTGCCAACAGCAAGTTTAAACTACTTACACAACCTACTTTATTATTATTTACCAAATTAAAAACAACAACAGAATGATATCATTCTTTAACAGTGACCTTAAAATCAAGGAAATAAACTGCTCCAATTTCAAATGTCTTTGCAGATCATTCCTTGCAGATGGAGCGCTGGAACTAAAAGCTGCTCTGCCATATTCAGACTGTACCATTGGAACGTCCAGCTGAGTATAACTATTAGAATGTAAATTATACTGAGACTTACTTGTTAATAAGAACGTAGACAAATATGAAGGAAGCTGACCAATAAGCTTTATGCACAAAAATTATCCAATGAATTTGTCTTTGCACTGAAAGTGGAGTCCAACCAATCATTTCGTGAAGTTCACAGTGATGAGTTGAATATCTAGCACATTATAAATCTGAATGCAGAATGAATGAGTCCAATGAATGTATTTGAAGTGTACCTATAAAGAATATCACCATAATCTAAAATAGGTAAAAAGGTAGATTTCAACTAGTTTTTTCCGTGCCTGTTGAGTAAAGCAAAAACAAAATAAAAATAAAATCCCAACTTTAATTTCTTTATCAATTGTCCAACATTCAAGTCAGTGTGAATTGGAAGTCAAAATCATTTGGCCTGATAATTGGTGGGGGTGATGGGAGGGGGAGACGAAACATGATATTAATGGATAATATTATTTTACCCGCCTGTGTGCATGGTGACAATCAGAAAACCATGCACACAATGTGGGCAAAGTCTCTATCTTTTGATGGAAAATTATTGGAAAGCAAGAATTTGGTCTTTAAATAATATATGATGAATTGTGTAATAATACGAGCAGGGACAAAAACGAACAAGGCAAGAATCCAGTCAAAGTTGATTCTAAGCATACTAATAATAAGATTAGTCTTACTCTACGTGGGCGTGTGTATTTGTGATCTGTTAACCTGCACAAAAAACAGCGCTAATTCATTTTCCCACAAAAGCCTGAACGAATCCAACATGAGCGAATAGCTAAACTGCTGCAGGCTGAATAGAGGAATATATACGAAGAGTTTCATTCCAAAATGCTGTATATATATTTGGAACAATGCTGAATATAAGTTATTGAAGCTAATAACAGTTGATGCATAATCATGTCTCTAGTAAAGGCGGTATTAATGTGAATTAAAGTTCGCCCCCAACAACATATCATGAAAAATAAATCATTCTTCACGTTAGAAATAAAGGTTCTGTGCAGGTACATTTTTCGTTCATCAAGGTACAAACAATGTAGATGTTCCCTCAAAGGTACAACAGTGGTTTTAAGGTCCAAATGTGAACCTTAAATAAGTTTTTCCAGGTGAAAAGTATGTATTTGCACCTTTTCATAACCGAATGTTTTAAAACAGAACAATAAAATAAAAGCCTGGAGGCGAGACAGGGGTGTGTGGAGTCAGTACAGCTTAGAAAATATAATTTCAGTGGATTATGGTTCAGTTATGTTCCCTGACTAAAGGTACTGAGATGTACCCTTGAGGGTCCCAGCCCAGTGACAAGAGGGGCACTGCCCCAGTGACAGTTTAGTACCTTTATTTCTGAGTGTTGAAAGTGTCTATAATGTGTTTTGAAACAAAACCCTTGATATGAGCCATCACAAAAAACTCAAAACAGGCTGATTTTGCACCTTAACATATGGTGTAAACATAATGTTTTCAATCTTGAACATGTTTACACACCACATCAAATTTGGTTTTCCATAATATGAACCCTTTAAGATTCATCAGCTAAAAACGACAGGAGAAATAAAGAAAAATGTTCTGCTGAAATATAACCTGTCATCATATCATGGCTACAGGCAGTTACCAAGAAGACTAATGGGCAAGTATAAACGTCAAGGCCAATAAAATGCCTGCCTGAGACATTATTGCCACAGCCAACGTCTCCTGATACAGATAAACAGGATGCAATTCACAGTCACCTCTATTCTCCCTCTACCACACACACACTCATACATACAAACCCCATGGCCACTGACGTAACACACAGCCAGTCCTTGGAGTACGATCTGCAGATCTGCTCTAATTGCCTGAGAGACTGCTTTAATTACATTCAGACTCTGTCCTCCACCACACTCCCTCTGATACCTATCTGCAGCAACCTTGTCTAACCATCCTACCCACACTAAGCTTGGACAATAATGTAAAATGTAGGCATCTGCAGAAATATCGCAACAAACGACATCGTTGAGATGAGAAATTTAGGCCCTGTTCACAGTCGGTGTTAATATGCATCCTGGGTGACCCGATCATAAGAGGACAGCGCTAAGCGCAGGTGTGAACAGGGTACAATGCAGGGTACAATGAGTGCATTTACTTGCACTCAATTATCTGATCATAATCGGACTTCTGCAGTTATCTGATTATCCAAATGGTCATGTCAACAGCATACTTCGATTTCTTAGATCAGAGTAAGGTCTAGAAATCTGGTTACAAATTCGATAAAGAGGCTGGATTTTAGCTCAGTAATCAGATTTCTCAGTGCATGTAGACTCTTACTCTGATTTCTTTCGGATTTCTCAGTTTGCGCATGCGCAACAGATGGCAGTACGAGAAATAAGCAAGCAGCGTCGCCGTGAGACGCAGCAAAACACTTCTGGAGTGGCACTGAAACCAACTACATGCTTGACGAAATGAAGGATTTTAAATAGTCTTCATCTTCTAGATGACTTATGTTCATATTTTCAGGTAAAGTTTAAAATGTTTCAAAAAAGCTGCGGTATGAAGTTCGAGTTTTACATTACGTTTACGTCAGGTCTTCTTCTGTGAGTTTATTGGCTGGTTGCAAAGCAGAAATCTGATTACTGTCTGACTCATGTAGATCTGGAGTTTTCACATTATCTGATTACTCAACTGCATGTAAACACATTGATTGGATTACTGAAAAAAACAGATTTTCTGCAGTTATCGGATTATCAAGTGCATGTAAATGCATTCATTGTGATCCGATCACTCGAACTAGTTTCGGAGGTGGTCAGGGCTGCACGTGTCTACAAAATGCACTGTACCCCATTCACATCTGCACTTAGTGCTCCCCAATTATGATTGGGTCACCCAGGATCCATATTAATGGCAAGTGTGAACAGGGCCTAAATTTCGATCACAATGATATTGTCTGTCGCGATAATTCTGGACATAACATTGACTGTGTGAACCCTAAAGCATCTTGATGCATCTTAATCAGCTGCACCATCACAGCAGAGACGAAAGCAGCTGTGCAGCTTCATTTTTCGCCTCCTCCACCGTCTGTTTACAAGTCATGTTTGCAGTTCATGTGGGCTAAACAGTCCTTTCATTTACATGATCATGGACTCGTGGTACATTTTTGTCTGACATCAAATGCAGCGAGAGACTAATGTGGGTGGTATCCTTCCTCCAGTCTTGCTGTCTGATGGTAATCAGATCACTCAAGACATGTTAATACTAAGTGTGAACAGGGCCTTAGTTAAAAAGTACCATGTGTGAGCATTACTGAGCCTTACACTATGGCTTGCCTGAAGGCCTATTTTCCTTGAAGGTAATACTACTTAATCATTTATCCCAATTAATCACATTATTTTTGTGCAGTTACTCGAATCACATCTGTCTTATCTGATCAACTTAGAACTGAAGGAAAGAACTTTCCATCTAAAACCAGCACATTCTGTTATATCTATATGAGTAGACAAAATAAGCTTAATCAGAATGTTGCTTTCAATTCAGTACCATTATGTGGATGCAGGGTTCACATGAACCTGAGCATGAAAACCATGTGATTTCTGTAAAGTGAAAGCTGTTGCCTATTTGCATCCGGGATGCCCAGTGAAAGCAACAAAGTGTGTAATTTATACAGTTGCACAACTAATGATGCAAAATTGTTTATTTTAACATGAAAAAAAATCAAACATAAAATGTTGCCTGTGCAAAAGTTATGGCACATTTAAAATGTTAGGTTTTCCAGTATAACAAATAAAAAGAAACTGTATCAGCATAACACTGTCCTATTTAAGTATGTTGTCTGTAGAGGAGGAGTAAACTGATTTTAATGTAAGTCAATGGAACCAGAGATTTTTCGAAGTCATTTTGGGCCGTTTCTTTTGGACCATTCTTCACAATATTTACACACAATGCAAAGAGCAACAGGCAATTTTAAATGTCAAAAACCGAAAAACGACAAAAAATGGAGATACAAGGTTTTGTTCTGACAGCAGCGATATAAATGACTATATATATATATATATATATATATATATATATATATATATATAGATAGATAGATAGATAACATCTTCACAGTTCTCCTGCAAGCACTGTAGTGTAGCCTGCTGAATACTCCAGTGCTAACGTTTTATATATATATATATACACACACACACACACACACGTTTGCTAATGTTTGCTACAAACCTCAAGTGCGTACTTGTATGTACACTTGTACAATTCCCACGGTGTACTCATGTGTGGAAAGTAAATGTGATCTAAATCCCTAGTTAATAGGATCGGGAATTTTAACCAGTCTAAACCACTACATTCATGACAATGAGAGCAAGCAGGCCGTGAAAGTGAAAGTGTGTTTGTGTTTATTTCTGAAGGTCTATAGGCGAAAGCTAAAGCGATAGTTTGGCCATAATTCACACAATTTTCTCCTTACTGCAAATGCAGCTGATGAACCAAGACAGATTTGGTGTCCTTCAGTTTTGCACTGGAACTACGAGGCCAATTTAGCTAAAAGTAGTTTAGCTGACTCATCAGTATTGTACAAACTGCATGCCTAAATCACACTTGCTTCAGTGTCAAGACTTGCTTTGCATTTTTTGACCCTGTTTGATATACTATCAATAAAAATGGACAAAAGTACATCACGTAGCTAAAACAATAGCAGTAGCAGGCAATTTGTCCATTCTTCTGTCTATTTTATAGATTTTTATAGACCGTACATTATACAGTTACATTATACAGTGTAGACCAATGGTGACACAAGTCACCACTGACTGCATTTGAGGAAAGAAAATGTGTGAATCTGATTTTTGACTGAACCAGGGGTTTGATTTAGCTATACGTCGTACCTTTTTTGGCCGGTCTGAGGCAGGATTCTGATCCAGGGCTGGCACTGCCATTGGACAGGTCGGATTTGGGTCCAGCCGTTTGGGAGGCCAGACTCGGCTCCTTCTTCACCTCCTTCTTAATCTCCTACAAGAGACAGAAAACAGAGAAAACTTCTTTTAGAGGCCAGTAGGGGGAGCAAGAGCCCATTATCTATCTGTTATGAGCGAGAGAGGCAGAGAGAGAGAGAGAGAGAGAGAGAGAGAAAAGGAGGGTGAGAGAGAGTAGGTGAGAAAGTGAGTGAGAGAAAGAGAGAGAGACAGAAAGAGAGAGAGACAGAGAGAGTGTTAGTCCTCCACGCAGCAGAGCGGAGCTGGACTCATTTCCTGGATGCAGTGACTCAGAGGAGCAGTCAAACTCACACACACACATACACAAGCCTTAAGCACTTCTCCATCTGTGTGTCTCTCAAAAGGCCCCTCGTTCTCTGCTTCTCTTTCTCCTTGCCTCTCACAGCGACGGTGAGGTGAAGGCAGACCTTTAAAGTTTCGTGTGATTTTCAGATTTACTGTTTTCCCCTTTCCCTGCAAACACAGCCAAAACATTGGAGGCTAATGGAGCTAACAAGGGATCTGTTTCAATAATTGTTTTTAACACACCTTCGCCCACTTAAACTCACCACTCGGATGTACGTCACACCTACTTTACACAAGTGGCAGATGAAGAGGAGGAGGGGACAATGCAGAGCAGATTATTAGAACGGAACAGAACCGCCCTCGGCTAGGTTAGCCTCCCAGATAGCAGATAGAGAGTTTTGGGCCAATTCTGGCTTTCCTATGTGAGTGTTGGTTGACTACTGGGTAAATACGAGGCACATGGGCCAGAATTGGGCCAGATCCTGGACAGCTTCATTCGGTTTTGCCTCGTGTCTACATTCATGGGACCATTCTGGCATGAATGTTGTGGACCAACAATGTAGTTGGGCCAGACTGGGGCCATATTTGGGCCATATCCTTTAGTTCTACTCACTTTCCAGTGTGTGGGCCAGATCTGGGTGGAGGACCCAGCCGTATACTGGGCAAGAACAAACCCACAAGTGGGCCAGAAAATTTTTGCTAACTGGGCTCAGTGTGCTAATAAGCTAGTTATGCAAACCTTGCTTTTTTGAGAAGTTTAAACATAACATATATGTACAAAAATTGTGAATAACTGCTTGAGAGCTGTGGTGTAGTGCCTTCTTTTTGTTGTTGTTAGCCATGTAGCCTTTCAGCATGCTAACTAGCAAGCTAGTAGTGATGCAGTTGTATCAGTAGGCCTGTATAAGAGACAGAGTACTTTGATAAATCCCAGCAAATCGAATGTCCTGGTTTTGAAACATTAAGCATTTTAAAGTAGCTTATTGTCATGGCTTAAAGATTTGTCCACCATTATTTTTGATGACGCTTATGTATAAAAAATGGACAAATGTACAGACATAATTTGGTCTTCTACTGCTGTTAGCAATCAACCTACTTTTGTGCATTATTATATGCTAATCTGTGAGGTGAGGTGAAGGCAGACCCTTAAAGTTTTGTGAGTTTCAGATTTACAGTTTTCCCCTTTACACCTTCATCCACTTAAACTCAGCATGCTAACTAGCAAGCTAGTAGTGATGCAGTTATATCAGTAGATCTGTATAAGAGATGGAGTACTTTGATCCCAGCAAACAGAACTGCTTTTGAAATATGAAGCATTTTAAAGTAGTTCACTACTATGGCTTACAGATTTGTCTGCCATTATTTTTGATGAGATACTGTTATGAATAAAAATAAACAAACGTACAGACATAATTCAGTCTTCAAGATGGCTGCTACTACTGTTGTTAGCAATCAACCTATGTTTCTGCATTATTCTAAGATAATCTGTGAGGTAGAAGCTAACCTGTGAGGTAGAAGCTATCCTGTGAGGTAGAAGCTATCCTGTGAGGTACAAGATAATATGTGAGGTAGAAGCTAATGTGTGAGATAGAAGCTAATCTGTGAGGTAGAAGCTAATGTGTGAGGCACAAGCTAATGTGTGAGGCACAAGCTAATCTGTGAGGTACAAACGAATGTGTGAGGTACAAGCTAATCTGTGAGGTACAAGCTAATGTGTGAGGTACAAGCTAATCTGTGAGGTACAAGCACACTTCCGACACCAAATGTGTCTTGGCTAATTGGCTACGTTTGTGGTAAGGGGAAGATTGTATATCCTGCTAATGTATTCCTTTAGACCCTGTTCCCTGCTATTAACTAGACGACCGGGTCTTAATAGGAGAAAGTTCATCTGTTTGCTCTTACACAGCTGCAGTCACCTTTGTTCAGCTCTCTTTCCACCCACTCTTCTTTTTTGTTATCTGCATGTCTCCCTTCCTCTCTGACTGGCAGAGTGGTTAATTGAGGCGAACGGGAAGCAAAACAATGCGTTTGCTCGGCCTGATGTTTCATTAATGCAGAACAAGCTTCTCGTTCTGGTGGTGGGCAGTATCTCGATGGAGAGGTTGTGCATCTGTAATAACCAGGCAAACCACACACTCACAGATGAGTTCTCACAATTGTAATTCTCTGTGTGTTACAGCCTAACGCTATATTGTGAAATGATAGCAGGCAGTTCCTTTCATCAGGGAACTGTCCTGTTTTCTGGCCATTTTTAGGTTACAGCAGTAAACCAAGGAAAATTGGGGAGAGAGGGATGTGTACCGTGAAATGCAAGTGCAACAATAAAATAAAGGTTATAGAATATTGAGGCTTTTTTTTTTTTTAGATGTGAAACACTCATGGACCTCATATTCAAAACTAACTACCTATATAAGTGACTAACTGACTAACTAATAAACTTACTTACTAATAAACTGACTGACAAATTGACTAACTAATAGACTTTCTAACTTGATGAAAATGCCCATATCCACTGTAAGGGCAATAATCAAGAAGTTTAAAACAACTGGAGCTCTAGTGAACATGTCTGGAAAAGGAGGCAAGTGTGTTTTTGCCTCCATGCACCATTAGCAAGGGTACTCAGAGAAGCAAAAACGTCTCCAAGGATCACAGTGGAGTATATGCAGACAATGATAGCATTTTGGGGTCACCAAATCTCTAAGACAACAATTAGATGCACCTCCATGCCAACAAACTGTTTGGTTTTGGCTGTAAAGGTTTGTAGGCAAACTATTTCTTAACCACAACCATAAGCACCTGAGTTTGCTATATGCTACTGGAACTCTGACTGGAACCAAGTTCTATACTCAGATGAGACAAAACTTAAGCTTTTTAGTAACAAACACTCAAAGTGGGTCTGACATAAAAAGGATGGTTATACAGAAAGGGACCTCATCCCCAAGTGTAGTATATTTTTGGCCTTTAAGAACAATCTTAGGGAGGAGGATCTGTGATGTTTTGGGGCTGTTTTTTCCTCCAAATGCCCTGGGAATCTTGTTAAGAAACCTGTGGGCTGAAGAGGAGAGTCCAAAAGACAGGACCTAGAACTCCGGAGGATCTAGAGAGATTCCGTACTGAGGAGGGGTCTCCGATTCCTCGCTCTGTATTCTCGAAATGTGTTGCTGCTATGTTGGCAAAGGGGGGTTGAAAAAAGTAGTAAATGTAAGGGGTGCCAATATTTTTTGTTAAAAAGCTTTCTCTCTTAAAAGTTTTTGTTTTCTTAGACACAATTTACTTCATTTAAAGTTTACATTTTTCCTTCATATTTTCAGTGAAATTCAGCTACTTAACAAACACAGACGCATTAGCACAAAACACAACATTCACTGTTACAGCTACAGCTTTTTTCTTAGTGTCCAAAAATATATGACACTTACATACATACATTGTGTCCACTCCCTGTCCACTCTATTAGACACTTCTACCTTGTCAGTCCACCTTGTAGATGTAAAGTCAGAGACGACAGCTCATCTGCTGCTGCACAGTTTGTGTTAGTCATCCTCTAGTCCTTCATCAGCGGTCACAGGACGCTGCCCACAGGACGCTGTTGGCTGGATATTTTTGGTTGGTGGACTATTCTCAGTCCAGCAGTGACACTGAGGTGTTAAAAACTCCAGCAGCACTGCTGTGTCTGATCTACTCAGACCAGCACGCCACACTAACACACCACCACCATGTCAGTGTTACTGCAGTGCTGAGAATGATCCACCAACCAAATAGTACCGGCTCTGTGAGGGTCCATGGTGGTCCTGACCACTGAAGAACAGGGTAAAAGGGGGCTAACAAAGTATGCAGAGAAACAGATGGACTACAGTCTGTAACTGTAGAACTACAGAGTGCACCTATATAGTAAGTGGAGCTGATAAAATGGACAATGAGTGTAGAAACAAGGAGGTGGTCATAATGTTACGCCTGATCGGTGTACATACGGTCACTGCTGCAATTCTCTAGTCACTTGATGGATGATTTTTCACTTGCCAATTCATGGACAGTTTCTGGTTTTCATTTGCCACTTCATGCACACGGTTCCAGACATTGCTACAAATACACCGTCACTGCATATGTGCATACTCATTTCATAGTAAAGCTCCTGCCTTATACATTTGTCCTCATCCATATGTATATTTATTCATATTAAGTAATATTCATTATGAAACTGCACATATTCTTTTTTATTAGACTGTATTTTCAGTATATTTCTGTACCTATATTTCTCAATATACTGTCTTCTTCTCTATTGTGTTTACTGTGTTGTACAGCTGTAGAGAGTAATTACCTGAGCCTCACCACAACCATTTCAATGTAGAGACTGTCCTTGGCACATTGTGCCTTTGACGAATAAAGACTCTGACATTTGTTCACCTAAATGCAGACTTGAAGGAGGACTGCAGGGCTTAGGGTGCCATTTGGTATAGGATTTATGTATCCTTCTTCACATTTGGCAATAAGATGACATGAGGAACAGAAGAGGTCAGCTTTATTTGAACTATTTTCATATGGCAATAGGCAGTGACATCTTCAGATCAGTATGAACTCAATGTGCTATTTGCTAAGTAAGCCAAAGTCATTTTTACAGAGCAGATCACTGAAGAGACGCCATCTGAGATCCAGTTTGTAGCTCAGATTTGTGGAAAAATGGGTCAATTTTCAGTAGAAAAAAAAATTGTGAGTTCAGCTTCTTTTATTATAAAG